AACTGTCCGGCGACTCAGGAGTGGTCGGGGTGACTGCGCCCAGGCTGTATTCAGCAGGGGTGGAGAAACTCTGACTTCAAATGAGGATATTGTCGGTCGGTGGAAAGAGCACTTTGAGGAACTCCTTAATCCGGGTGACAGGCCTCCCTCACGGGAGTCAGGGCCAGAGGCCTCTGGCGTGTCAAGCTCCATTTCCCTGGTGGAGGTCACTGAGGTAGTTGGCAAGCTCTTCAGTGGCAAGGCACCGGGGGTGGATGAGATTCGTCCGGAGATGCTTAAGGCTCTGGATATTGTGGGGCTGTCGTGGCTGACATGCCTCTGCAATAGTGCATGGACCTCGGGAACAGTACCCTTGGACTGGCAGACCGGGGTGGTGGTCCCTATTTTCAAGAAAGGGGACCGGAGGGTGTGTGCCAACTATCGGGGTATCACACTGCTCAGCCTTCCTGGGAAAGTCTATGCCAAGGTGCTGGAAAGGAGACTTCGACCGATAGTTGAACCTCAGATTGAGGAGGAACAATGCGGATTCCATCCTGGCCGTGGAACAATGGACCAGCTTTTCACCCTCTCACGGATTGTTGAGGGGGCATGGGAGTTTGCTAACCCAGTCTACATGTGTTTTGTGGATTTGGAGAAGGCTTACGACCGCGTTCCCCGAGATATCTTGTGGGAGGTCCTCCGGGAGTATGGGGTGCCGGGGTTACTACTCCGGGCCATTCAATCTCTGTACCCCTGGAGTGAGAGCTGTGTTCGTATACTCGGCATTAAGTCGGACTCTTTCAGTGTTAGCGTTGGACTCCGCCAGGGTTGTGCCCTGTCTCCACTCCTGTTTGTGATATTCATGGACAGGGTGTCAAGGCGTAGCCGGGGTCAGGAGGGCATTATGTGTGGAGGCCGGAGGGTGGCGTCTCTGCTATTTGCAGATGATGTTGTTCTTTTGGCTGGATCACATGGATGCCTCCAGCGCACACTGGAGCGGTTTGCAGCTGAGTGTGAAGCGGTTGGTATGCGGATCAGCACCTCCAAGTCTGAGTCCATGGTCTTAGCCCGGAAAAGGATGGTATGCCCACTCCAGGTAGGGGGAAAGGACTTGCCCCAGGTGGAGGAGTTTAAGTATCTCGGGGTCTTGTTCACGAGTGATGGGAAGAAGGATCGTGAGATCGACCGCAGGCTGGGACAAGCGGCAGCAGTAATGAGGTCGCTGTACCGGACTGTAGTGGTGAAGAGGGAGCTGAGCCGTAAGGCGAAGCTCTCTGTGTACCGATCGGTCTACATCCCGACCCTCACCTATGGTCATGAGCTGTGGGTAATGACCGAAAGAATGAGATCGCGAATACAAACGGCAGAAATGAGCTTTCTTCGCAGGGTGGCGGGCTACACTCTATTTGATAGGGTGAGGAGCTCGGCCATCCGGGAGGAGCTCGGAATAGAGCCGCTACTCCTCCGCATTGAGAGGAGCCAGCTGAGGTGGTTCGGGCATCTGATCCGGATGCCCCCGGGACGCCTCCCGGTGGGGGTGTACCAGGCACGGCCTACCGGAATAAGACCCCGGGGTCGTCCTAGGACCCGCTGGAGGGATTATATCTCCAAGTTGGCCTGGGAGCGGCTTGGGGTCCCCGGGAATTAGCTGGAGGAAGTTGCGGGGGACAGGGTCACCTGGGATTCTCTGCTCTCCCAACTGCTACCGCGACCCTATCTGGACTAAGCGGTTAACGATGATGATGATGATGATGATGATGCATTCAGTTTTTATTAACATTTATTTACATTTTACACAGCATCCCAACTTTTTTGGAATCGGGGTTGTATTTTACTCAGCGTGGTAGGTAATGTTCAACAGTTTGCAATTTGCTAACCATATTAGATCCATTGCTAATAGGCTAAAAGATGGTGAAAATATACTCCAAATGTATATTATGCATTCTCTCATGCACAAGCATGAATTTAGATGCATGTAGTCAACTTACATGTTGTGAAGGAATCAGTTCCACGTAAAAATGCATCCTCTTCCTCAGAGTCCATGCTAGCAGCCACTGAACCGTCACTCTCAGCTTCCAGCTCATTGTTGCACCTAAACAACTCCTCATGAACCTCAGCCAAAGTAAAGCTTCTCCTTGCTAAGATGTCTGTGTTGGAGATCAATAATTATTTGTGAAAAAAAACTTTAAAAAATAAATAAACCGCACTAGATGGAATCACAAATGTGTGTTCTGCAGTGTGCCAATCAGGGTAGTCAGAGTGCATCAGGGGATGATTAATTTACATGTTCCCCTCCCCCCATTTAGTAGGTGACCAATCAAGGCAAGCAACCTATCTACGTTTCCATCTGAGTGAGCACTTAAAAATGTGTCACTTCAGGGACTATGGATAAACACTCTGAACCCCAGTGTGATTCAGTGCTCATGCCGTAGGTACAAAAAACCGTCACTCAAGGAAAATTTTACATTGTTCACTAAGAGCTTGAAAACATTACATTCTGGTTACAATGGAAATGAAATGAACACATTTTTTGTAAAAAGAGGTGAGCAAACAAATAAGGAACTTCACTGACATTTCATTCGCTGTTCAGCAGTTTCATACAGTTGCTTTGATGGTATGTGAATTTTCTATGATGACGTCTGAAATTGTCTTACATCCTAAGCATATTTTAAAATGCTGAGTGTTTGAGGAGGCATGCTCCACTTGTAAACGGTCAGTAAAGACAAGGTGTATTCAGTATGAGATTTCTGGCGATGGTTGCTTGTAAACGACTGAAAATTGGTATGTGGGTAGTTAAACTAGTTCTAAGAAATTTGAGTTGGTGTGTTGGACAGTGTTTTAAGAATATTTGACGCTATCAAATACTCTACCTTAGATAGCCAGAACAGGCCCCTAGAGGGCACTTCTGCATAAACAGGTTAATAATGCTAACTGGTCTATAACTCAGTCAGCTCAAATCACAAGACAAACACCAAACATTAAAAGAGCAGCATAACCACAGTTTCTCCCAGAGACACACAGGGACCATATGGTGAACACTGTGGGCCCAACTGCATCCCATTTCTGTCGTTTTTCTGCAGTGATTCCTCATGCAGCAACAAATCATAGTATGCGTTTGTAATCAGCTGACATTAATCTCAAGATCAGCTCACACCAGTATTTCCACTTAGGAAACAGAGAGAGAAAGAAAGAAAGACAAGACCAACAGAGGGCATCAACAGAAACATCTTGGACACAGCATGCCCTCCCCCCCCCATGCTTTTGCACAGCTACACAGCAAAGCAAAGCCTTAACATTGTCAAAAGCTTGCTGACATTCAACAGACCAGTTAGTGAGAGGAAATACCACCGAGGCAAAATTTCTACAAAACCCACAATAGTAACCTGCCATTCCCAAGAAATGTCGTAGTACACAATGACTTCTACCTCGGCATCTGAGGGTTGAACACAACCCCGTCCAACCACCTTCGCTAGATATGCAACTGTGGCTTTCCCAAATTTACATTTAGCCAAGTTCAGGGTAAGGGAACTTGAAAACCATGTCTAGTAGTTCCAAATGCTCAACCCTTGTAGAGGAATACACAACAATATCATCTAGATATGCCTTGCAATTTTTAATTCCTGACAACATTCATTAATCGTTAAAAGGTTGCAGGAGCCTTTTTCATCCTAAAAGCTATCACTGTATACTGTAGGAAATCATCAGGCATAGGAGATGCTGAAATGTCTGAGGCACGCTGAGTTAAGGGGACTTGCCAAAACCCTTTCAAAAGATCTAGCTTACTTACACAGTGTGCTGAACTAACACTGTCTACACAACCATCCATTCTAGGCAAAAGAAAAGTGTCAGAACAGGTGCAGCATTAACTTTTCGATAATCTGTACAGAAACATGATGTGCCTTCAGATTGTGGAACTAGAATACATGGGGAACTCTATGGACTGGAACTAGGCAAAGCAAAACCATTTTCTAATAAATACTGTACCCTTTTTCTGCCTACAGGCACGCTTAGTTGAATTAAAACCATAGGTGTTTTATTGCATCCATACGACCAAACACAAGCTGTGCAGGACAAAAACCAAGGGATTCTTGAGCAATTTCTCAAATGGCAAAAAGTACAAACTGAACACTCTCGTCCCACTCATGATCTGACTCAAAACAATACCTGCGCAACATCACCTTCAATGATTGGTGAAACCACTCCAATGCAACCTGCAACTCTGTATGGTAAGCACTGGAGAACATGTGTTCAATACACAGTGGCTTTAACACCTGAGCAAACAGTTTGGACATAAAGTTAGAACCTTGGTCTCTTTGCACATTTTGGCAGCCCAAAAATGGAGCAATATTTAATCAAGGCTTTTATAATGGCTTTGGCTTTTGAAGTATGCAATTGAATTGCTTCAGGAAATCAAGTAGCAACACACATCAAAGTTAGCAAATGCTGATGACCTGACTTTGTCTTCGGCAAAGTTCCTCCACATCATCCATTAGTATCATTTTGTTTCAAAGCGTTCACCCATAACAGGTATAGGATGGAGAGGTGCAGAAGAAATAGTTGGATTAGGCTTCCCAGTAAGTTGGCATGTATTACAGGAGCAGCAGTAATGAACTATAAATATAGATATTTTTATGATACTCAAGTGTCCAGACAAAAAATGATCATGAGCTAAAGCTAACACAGCATGCATGATAAATTGGTACACAGTATTCAATTGAGAATCAGCCTGAGAAGAAGCTGAGGGCACCCACTTATGCATTGTTGCAAAGCAGCTTTGCTTTGCTAATAACAAGCCCTGGATAACCAGCAATGTCTGTTCAGATCGCCACAGCACCTGTATGTCCAGCAGTCACCTCCACACCCTCCCTCTTCTCAGATCCTGGTACTCCAGGCTCTGCCTGCCTGGATATCAACACCTCATCTTCTTCTATTGATATTCATGCACCCCTCCCACAGGCTGATAGCACAGACAACACAGCCTCATCTCCCCCTCTTCACACATTAACAAATCTGATCTGCAGCACCGCTGCAGCCCCCCTCCCCCTCTGCACATCTTCACTGCATATCAGGTTAGAGGTGAGTTGAGGAAACTCCACACAAGGTAGGCAGCTGGACCAGACAAAGTGTGTCCTAGACTACTAAAGTCCTGTGCTGCTGAGCTGGGGGCACCCCCACAGCACATCTTCAACCTGAGTCTGCGCTTGGGATTGGGTTCCCACACTGTGGAAGACATCATGTCTCATTCCAGTACCCAATAGGGGGCGATGCAGTGAGTTCAATGACTTTAGGCTGGTCACTCTAACATCACATGTCATGAAGACCCTGGAGCGCCTGCTTCTTCACCTTCTCAGACCCCAGGTTCAACACGCAACGGACCCCCTGCAGTTCGCCTACAGGGTGAAAGTGGGAGTGGAGGATGCCATGCTATACTTTCTCCATCGGGCCCACTATAATCTGGACAAGGGTGGTAGCGCTGTAAGAGTCATGTTCTTCGATTTTTTTCCAGTGCCTTTAATACCATTCAGCCCCTCCAACTATAAGCTGGCACGGATACAAGTTGATCCGCACCTGGTCTCCTTTATTACTGACTACCTCACTGGCAGACCACAGTATGTCAGCCTGAAGGGCTGTACATTAGAGAATGTAGTCAGCAACACTGGAGCACCACAAGGGACTGTACTTTCGCCTTTTCTCTTTACACTGTACACCTCAGACTTTAAGTAAGAGGTTTTCGGATGACACTGCCCCCATGAGTGTTGCCAACGGTGAACGTGGCAAGGACAAACTCCCTAAAAGCAAGAGGAAGAAACCTTGAGAGGAACCAAGACTCAAAAGGGGAACATATCCTCCTCTGGTCCACACCTGAGGATAGTTATGATAGTTAGTTATGTTAATACAGACTGATTACAGTTTACAGGGTTAACAGAGAGCAGCAGAGACTCCAGCAGGTCGAACTAAGAGGGAGAGACAGAATGTAACAGACATGAGGGCTCCCTGAGATCTCAGCACCCCTCCACTCCACCATCAACAAATCTGAGTGAGCGAGTGAGAGCAATGCTTCAATTAGTAATTAAGCAGCTCATCAAACCCCAGACAGGTTATTACAATAAACATATTTATGTTTAGCTCAATTGTAACACCTGAATCTTTATCACCTTTCCATTCAGACTCCCCTAAAAACACCAGAGCGGTCATTCTTCCCTCTGGACAGAGAGTGGAGGGAGACTCAGTGACTCTGACCTGCAGCAGTGATGCAAACCCTCCTGTTCTCTCCTACTACTGGTTTAATCAGAGCTCAGACGTAGAGCTGGGAACAGGACAGAGTTACAGCATCACCAGCATCAGCTCCCAGCACAGCGGACTGTACTACTGCACCGCTCACAACCAGCTCGGACAGAGCAGCTCAGGACCCTCCCGTCTGGATGTGTTATGTGTTTGCATGTCTGCCAGTAAGTTCCCAGATGTCTGTTTACATTACTGTGTACAGGGTTTGTTATCAACTTCTTAAGTATGGAGTTAATTTTGTACCAAAAGTTTCAAATAAAATACATGAGAAAAATATTAAGTATCGAAACGTCCAAAATATTTTGCAAATGCAAGTAATGAGAGTTAAATCACACTGAAATGTTTCAAAAAGATTGCTACATACATGATGAAAAGTGTCTAGAAATGGTGATTGGAGAGCTGAGGAAAATGAGACAGGTCTTGAGATGACTTTTCCATAAAGACATCTGTTAAGAGTTTTGTTAAGAGCATGAAATTTGTCAGAGGCAGCCGCCTCGTTATTCTCATTGCAGAAAAAACCCTGTATCATTAACTGAACCTGCTCTGAGCTTTATAGTATTGAGGATCTTCTACTCCCAATAGTACCGCACTGGTTTTTGAGTCTGTTTCATTACAGTAGTTTTGATTTGATATTGTTTAAGTGCAATAAAATAATTACTTAATTATATGGTGGTGTAATTAATTACATTTGCATTTAATTTATATTATGTGTAGACAAGTTGAAATCAGTGTCACAATGTAGCTCCTCCGCTGTAACTGCTGTAGACTGAATGGTGGAGCTAAACTGCTGTAGCTGAATGGTGGAGCTAAACTGCTGTAGGCTGAATGGGTGGAGCTAAACTGCTGTAGACTGAATGGTGGAGCTAAACTGCTGTAGGCTGAATGGGTGGAGCTAAACTGCTGTAGCTGAATGGTGGAGCTAAACTGCTGTAGACTGAATGGTGGAGCTAAACTGCTGTAGCTGAATGGTGGGGGCTAAACTGCTGTAGCTGAATGGTGGAGCTAAACTGCTGTAGCTGAATGGTGGGGCTAAACTGCTGTAGCTGAATGGTGGAGCTAAACTGCTGTAGCTGAATGGTGGAGTTAAACTGCTGTAGCTGAATGGTGGAGCTAAACTGCTGTAGCTGAATGGTGGAGTTAAACTGCTGTAGCTGAATGGGTGGAGCTAAACTGCTGTAGGCTGAATGGGTGGGGCTAAACTGCTGTAGCTGAATGGTGGGGCTAAATTGCTGTAGGATGAATGGGTGGAGCTAAACTGCTGTAGGCTGAATGGGTGGAGTTAAACTGCTATAGCTGAATGGGTGGAGTTAAACTGCTGTAGGCTGAATGGGTGGAGTTAAACTGCTGTAGCTGAATGGTGGAGCTAAACTGCTGTAGCTGAATGGTGGAGCTAAACTGCTGTAGCTGAATGGTGGAGTTAAACTGCTGTAGCTGAATGGTGGAGCTAAACTGCTGTAGCTGAATGGTGGAGCTAAACTGCTGTAGCTGAATGGGTGGGGCTAAACTGCTGTAGCTGAATGGGTGGAGCTAAACTGCTGTAGCTGAATGGTGGAGCTAAACTGCTGTAGGCTGAATGGGTGGAGCTAAACTGCTGTAGGCTGAATGGTGGAGCTAAACTGCTGTAGCTGAATGGTGGGGCTAAACTGCTGTAGCTGAATGGTGGAGTTAAACTGCTGTAGCTGAATGGTGGAGCTAAACTGCTGTAGCTGAATGGTGGGGCTAAACTGCTGTAGCTGAATGGGTGGGGCTAAACTGCTGTAGCTGAATGGGTGGGGCTAAACTGCTGTAGCTGAATGGTGGAGCTAAACTGCTGTAGGCTGAATGGGTGGAGCTAAACTGCTGTAGACTGAATGGTGGAGCTAAACTGCTGTAGCTGAATGGTGGAGCTAAACTGCTGTAGGCTGAATGGGAGGGGCTAAACTGCTGTAGGCTGAATGGGTGGAGCTAAACTGCTGTAGGCTGAATGGGAGGGTCAAATTATGTGAGCTGTTTAAAATAATTCAGACCCACTAAATGTTTTTGTAAATCTGTTAGTTTGTTTAACAGTGTTTATCTGTATGAATGCTCTAAAAGGTTCTTTATCTCCATTCAGCTGGGCTGTGGAAGCAGTTTGCTGTTTGGGGAACTGTTGGATTCGTTTCTGCTCTGGTTTTGTCTCTTATTAACGCTGTTGTCTGCTTTCGGTGAGTGACAGTGTTCTTTGTTTATTACCATGAATATCTGAATATGTATCTAAATGCAGTTTTAATCATGAACTCAATTTTATCCTCAAATAGAAACTGTTAAATCAGCCTGTTTGTGTTTAATCTGTGTGATTAGGAGGAAGAGAGGAGCAGTGAGAGGAGCTGATGTTCAGGTAGAGAGAAAGGTTTACTTTTTCTGTTCATGAACATGTTTCTAGAACAGTGATACCAGAGATGGTATTTTGCCTGTCAGTGATGCTCCAGTCCTCTAATGCTGTTCTTCTGCAGCTCACAGCAGCGTGAGGCTCCATACAGCTTCAAATTATACAGTTTTCACTCCAGAAAAAAATCTTCAGTCTGATGGAAAATGAAGCTCTAGCTGAAGTTAATGTGGCGTTTAAAGAAAAGAGGCAAAACTACTTGAAACAGTGGATTAACATGTAGTTTATGTGATGTTAGCACATAGTTATGATAGCTGACGTTCACAGCTAATGTAGCTGAAGGTTTAATAAGTCACAGATTTCGTTGAAACTTCAGCTGGATTAGCTGTTGTGCTGGCTAGTGATGTAAAATTAATCCTGCCATGGAAGAGACTCGCAGAAATGATTTTATTCAAAAGAGCGCTCTGTCCATCTGTGTCACCAACACCCAGTCTAAACAGACGTTCAGAGACACAGCTCTTATACCTTGTCATCGACCCCCAGAGGTCCCAGGAAGGCCAGATCATCCTTAGGGGGTGTCGTACAGGCCGTTTGTTGTTATTGTTCAAAACATGAGAACGTCGTATGAGAACCCATTAGCGTTAATCCTGCTTAACAATGAATAACAATTAAAGGAAAAAAAACAGAAAATAAAACAATTCCTAACAATTCCCCCAATCACATCTGAAGCGTCAAGTTTGCTTAGTGACATGACTGATCCATTATCATTTATCAAAACAGAAGTGTTCATACTTCCATCTAAATAATCAGAATTAAAATTGACAAGCCGCTCCCAGGCCAACTTGGAGATATAATCCTTCCAGCGGGTCCTAGGACCACCCTGTGGTCTTGTCCCGATAGGCCGTGCCTGGTACACCCCCACCAGGAGGCATCCACCTCAGCTGGCTCCTCTCAATGCGGAGGAGTAGCGGCTCCTCCCGGATGACCGAGCTCCTCACCCTATGAAGTAGAGTGTAGCCCACCACCCTGCAAAGAAAGCTCATTTCCACCGCTTGTATTCGTGATCTCATTTTTTCAGTCATTACCCAGAGCTAATGACCATAGGTGAGGGTCGGGATGTAGACCGACTGGTAAACGGAGAGCTTCGCCTTATGGCTTAGCTCCCTCTTCACCAGTACAGTCCAGTACGGTGACCGCATTACTGCTGCCGCCTGTCCCAGCCTGCGGTCGATCTCACGATCCCTCTTCCCGTCACTCGTGAACAAGACAGACAAACCGCTGAAACTGAGATGAGGCTGTTTTAGCTTGAGTGAGCTGTACATGCTCTACTCATCATCATTGTTGTTGTGATCAGCATTTAGACCCGTATCATAGAAACATCCACCTTTTGCTTCTGCTGAGAAGATGTTTTATTTTTATGGGAATTTCTATTACCCATAAAAGTTAGTTGTGCTACTACAAACCCACACAATCCCACACACCACTTTGTCATCTTAACTGCTTCTTACAACATTTTAGTCCTTTATATTTTGGTGACAACAAGGATGAATGTTCCAACGTAGGACACCAGATGTCCATCACTCCAGCAGTGTTCCTTGATCACATCGCACCTGATTGAATGGGCCTTTGAAGGAACCAGCAGCACCTGAGTTCCATCCATTTTTGCACCATGAGTTCCTCTCACCCTGTCTTGACAGAAATCACTCTTTATAATTCTAATTACTCACCAGCAACATAATTAGGGAGGTGTGAGCTGACCAAGGAGAAGATGCCTTTGCATCCTGGTTTAAAGTCTCCATGTGTACCCTTCACTGGTGAACACAAACAGGCTTGTATGCCATACTTATTATTGTTAACTTGCCGGCCTTTGCAGGACTATATCAGTATCTGCATATAAGAATCTTATGTACTTCGTCACCGCCCTAATGTTTAATTATATTTAAATTTCTGTTTTACCAAAAATCAATGTTCTCCCTTCATGGAGATTCCCAAAACTCTTGAATTCAAATTCAGCTGTACAAAAATTATAGTACCAACTACCTTAGTCTCCATCATTCATCTTGGCTCATGCGTGGTATGTAGTACTGTATAACATCAAAACAAAATTCAACCAATTTAGAAATATAATCATACAACTATTAGAGTCACCCCCAGGTTACACAGCACCCAGTGCAGCAGCCTTAAACAACTAAACATTTAACCATGGCTGAAGTTATTAAATAACTGGTTTAATATGATTCACAGTAGTTTTCATATACAATCTATTGTCCTGCTCATGTATAATTGGCTATATATGCTTCCACAGCAGCTATCGTTATTTAATCCTCCTCTGTGGGAATAGCAGAAAACTGAGTTAATTCCTGGATAGGCTCTAACAGTTTACCTGCCACCTTGGGAATGACAGCCCCACCCACTGACTTGGACTGAGTTTTCACTAAACTCACTTTACTCTTTGCCTCAAATTTCTTCTTTTTCCATTTGCAAGGACTCATTTCACTGCAGTAGTGCTATGCATTCTCATAGGTTCCCAGGCTTTGCTGACTCCCTGTTCTGTGTAACACATCCTTTAACAGTAATGTGCAGCCGACATCCAGTTAAAGAGGTGGGGCTAAAACTGCTGTTGGCTGAATGAGTAAAAACCAAAACCCAAAATTGTCTTTAAACACCACATTTACTGTGTTTAGCGCTTTGGTTCTGTCCTTCAGACTGAAGGTTCTTCTGTAATGAAGGACTCATTATTTAAAGCTGTGTTGAACCTGAAAGGTTTACAGTTCCTGCAGCTAAAAACTGGACTAAACTATAATTCTCTAATTAAGACTCTGTTTCTCCTCATCTCTCTGAAAGGCTCCAAAGTCTGGAGACGACACATACTCAGCTCTGAACCCCAACACCACGTCCTCCGACTACGACACTCTGACTGTAAGTCTGCACTCTGTGTACCTTCATTCTCTGGTTGAGCTTCATAACAGTTCCTAAGATCTCCTGTTTTTCAGGTTCTCCGTCCTCACCCAGTGATGAGAAGAGCTCCAGAGAACGAGAACTAACAGCTGTGTTCATTTACTCTTCATTCACCACTGTAGCTTCAGCTCTATGGACAGAACATTAAAGAGGCGTACGGAGGATTTCTGAGGATTAAAGAGCTTTTAGAGCTCAAAACACATCAGATGATTCCTAAAGTCAGAGTGATTCTCTCAGATCAGTCAGAGGAGCTTCTGTTTATGAAGGGTCTTTATTCACTGTTGTGCTTTTATACACCATGATGATTCAAACACGGACCAGAATCAGGCAGTTCTGATCATTCAGGATGAACAGAGTTACGATAATTTGAACCCTGTTTGGTAAAAAATGCAGGTGTTTACAGTTATGCTTGTTAACATTTTATTTCCAAGTTTCCGTGTTTTAAATCACTTTTTTTTAGTTTTATTCTTGTATTTTCATCTTTTTAGATTAGTAGATCCTCTTAAACTCTTCTATAGTTGTTCTATACTGTCATTATTCTAAATGTGCTACTAAAAACAGACTGTTAATAAAGTTTTGAAGCAGGTTTTTCCTGTTTAATGAACAGTGAACAGGTGAGAGATTCCTGGATGGATCTGCTGCCTGTTTTCATCACTGCTTTTCATCAGTTTTCTTATTTCAGTTCTTCCAGTTCACATACAGGTAGCTGTAGTCAGGGTTGGGATAGCTACTGAAAAATTAGTAGTTAGCTACTTTGTAGCTACTTTCCCAAAATTTGTAGCAGCTACAATTTAGCTACTTTTTAAAAAGTAGTGCACGACTTTTTAGCTACTTTCAAAGCGCGACTGTCAGAATGTTTGTGAATCTCCACCTGACACACCAGACAAGCCCAACTCACAGTGTGAACGAGACACTGCATTTAATCTGTGTCAGAAAAAAACACACAGTTGAAAAGCTGCAAATAAACAAAAAAAAATCACCAAAAAGTGTAAACAACAATCAAACGTACACACCTAAATGCAAAGTCAATCATTCCAGGTTTTTCTTACAAAAATCGACAAAAATAACTATAAAAAACAAACTATTTTGTGTAAAGCATCATCAACTGTTGAAATAAAACTGCTCCAATGTAAACATTTTCCCAAGATGTGTACAGACATGGCATTCAGAATCCTGTATTAAACTTCAGCTTTAGCTGCAAAATCCTCATCAGTGACTCTGGCTCTGTTTGGGGTGAGAATCAGGCCTGAATAATCTCTCCACTGCTGCACAACTGTAGCGGCTACAGCTATTAGCTACAAATATTTGTAACTAACTACAAAAAGGAGCGCGCTACTTAGCTACTCCCCCATCCCTGGCTATGAGTAACTGGTGGTGATGGAAACCAGGAGCGAAAAACATCTTAACTCTGAAATCTGATCTGTTTAGTCTCCATGACGACTTCAGTAGGGACTGAATTTCGGACAGTAGCTATTCAGAATAACAGTTCCTAACTTCATAATCTCATCATGAACTCCAGATAAGAAAACAGCATCACACAAACATCCTAACTAGACTAAACCTCCTAAATCCTGTCCTAACTTTAGGATGAACCCCAACAGGGTCCTCACTTCTGTTTAAGGTCCGTTTCTATGGTTTTTAGGCTGCTGAGTCAGCAGCATAGTTCACTACCAGCATAATAATGCTGCAGTGCACCACCTGTTCCCCTCAAACTCCTCCTGTGTAGAAGACCAACTGAAGTGTAGGTCACTGTTCTCAGCCACTCTTCCTGTAACTGCAGTGACCTTCACTGTCTCAGCCTCTCATCACTGGATACTGTCAGTTATTCAGTCTCTCTCTCTGTCAGTCAGTAATTAAAGAGACTGTCAGCTCCGTTACAGACACTCAACATCAGAAATGATCCTACAGATTTAGGACTTGATGATCTTTAACCAAAGAGAGATTTAAAACTGAATTTAATCCACAATTCAAATGGAGTTAAAAGCTAGAAAAGCTCATCTTTCCTGCCTGATCAGGACTGTGTGGGCGTGTCTGACCTCACGCTGATTGACAGCAGCATAAAGCAGCATAAACAACCAACAGCAGCAGCAGATTTTTACACTTTTAAAGCTTTTATTTTCTGGACTTTTAAAAATCTGTCCTAATTCTGATTGGTACGAGGAGAAACTGGACGTCAGCCTCTTCAACATACTGCCCACCTCAAACAACATTCCAACATTGTTCTTTATTTGACAGTTAATAGTGAATTCATGCAGGAGCCGATCAGAGCTAGAAGCACCAACAGATTAAGGAAATAATCAGACAGTCGGTTTAAATCAGTCTGAGTTACTCAGTAATACTGACACTCAGTGTTACAGCCAGGAATGTAGTCAGACTGGAGTGCAGTCAGTTCAGATGGGCACTTTGGCTCCACCCCCAACGAGAGATTTCATCTTTAGCTCCGCCCCAGCAAGATACTTCATATTTAACCCCGCCTCCTCACCCGTTTTCTCCATTTTGCTCCGCCTCCTTATCAATTTCTCCCGCTGAGCTCCGCCTCCTCATCAGCCGCGGTTTGGCGCTCAGTTGCGTCTCCGTCGCGCGCTCTGTGCTGTGGACTCTCAGTGAGGAGTTAGCTTAGCAGCTAAAACAAACAGCTCTACAGAAAAGTCGCTTTAGGACTCAAACACAGAAAAAAGATATGTTGTATATACTAACAGACAGTTAGTTCTGTTATGGGTGACCGAACAGAGCAGAGAGGTGACAGAGTGCAGCGGCCTGACTATGGCAGCATAACTAAGAGGGAGAGCCAGAAGGTAACAAGGACATGAGGGCTCCCTGAGAAGTCGGCGCCCCTCTGCTCCATCGTCAGTGAACGTGTAAGAGCAGTGGAACGACAGAGCAGTGAGACGACAGCACCAGCATTCCCAGATTACCATAAGACTCTCTGTCCGTGAACCCCAGATCTGCACCTTTTCTAGCAGGAAAACTAATTAACCAAAGGCTCGACTAAACAGGTACGTTTTTAGCCTAGACTTAAAGATGGAGGCTGTGTCTGAGTCCTGAACACAGACTGGTGGGCTATTCCAAAGCTGGGGGGCTTTGTATGAAAAGGCTCCGCCCCCTGATGTAACTTTATTTATTCTGGGTACTAATAATGAGCAGCACCTTGTGATCTAAGTGGGCGTGTCGGTTGATAATAGGAAATAAGGTCACTGAGGTACTGAGGATCAAGGCCGTTCAGAGCTTTATACGCCAGCAGAAGAATTTTGTACTCAATGCGGAATTTAACTGGCAACCAGTGTAAGGTACACAAAATTGGGCTAATGTGGTCAAATTTCCTGGTTTTGCTGAGAACTCTGGCTGCAGCGTTCTGGACTAACTGAAGCTTGTTAAGGTTTTGGCTGGAACAACCAGAAAGCAGAGCGTTACAGTAATCTAACCTGGACGTGATGAAGGCGTGAACTAACGTTTCTGCATCCTGTAGCGACAGTGCATTTCTTAATTTAGCGATGTTACGCAGGTGGAGGAAAGCTATTCTGGTAATATTGGTAATATGCTCATCGAAGGCCAGACTGGGATCGATCGTGACACCAAGGCTTTTTACAGATGTGCCTGGTGCAATTGAGAAACTATCGAGATTAAGAGTAAACATAGGCAGATTATCCCTAGCAGCTTTTGGACCCAGAAGAAGAACTTCTGTTTTGTCCGAATTTAGTAAGAGGAAGTTACTTGACATCCCGTCTTTAATGTCTTTTACACAGTCCTCTATCTTATTAAGGTCAATTTTGTCCTCTGGTTTAGCTGAAATATATAATTGTGTATCATCGGCATAGCAGTGGAAGCTGATGCCATGTTTTCTAATGATGGGACCCAGTTGTAGCATATATAAGGTAAATAATATGGGTCCTAAGACAGAGCCCTGTGGAACACCATACTTTACTCTTGTGAGAGCTGATGGTTCACCATTTACATTAACAAACTCAAAGCGATCACTAAGGTAAGATTTGAACTGTGAAAGAGCTTTACCTGTCACTCCTACTAGTTTCTCAAGCCTGTCTAATAGAATGGAATGGTCTACTGTGTCAAAAGCTGCACTAAGATCGAGTAAAACCAGTAAGGATATGTTTCCTTTGTCAGCGGATAATAAAAGATCATTTACAATTTTCACTAACGCTGTTTCAGTACTATGGTGAGGCCTGAAGCCAGACTGAGATTTTTCATGTATATCACTCCTATGCAGATGGGAACATAATTGTTTTGGCACAGCTTTCTCTACAATTTTTGATAAAAAGGGAAGATTTGAAATAGGTCTATAGTTTGGTAACTCAGAGGGGTCAAGACTGGGTTTCTTAATTAGGGGTTTAATTACAGCTAATTTAAGAGACTTTGGAACATAGCCGAGGCTGAGAGAAGAGTTTATTATAGATAGAAAGGGCTTTGGTTATTTCTGGCAAAACGTCTTTAAGTAAACCTGTAGGAAGTGGATCTAGTATACAGGTTGCTGTTTTTGAAGATGAAATAATTTGGACGAGCTCTGTTTGTTGGAGTAAAGTAAAAGACTCCAGCGTCTCTGTAGTGGTTATACTGCACTCCAGATCTAGATTAGGTTTATAGGACGCTGCACTGCAATGCTGCGCATTTTGAATTCTGTGCCTAATCGACTCAATTTTATTATTAAAGAAGTTCACGAAGTCATTGCTGCTGTAGGCTGATGGTATCTGGGCTTCAGTTGCTGCTTGATTATTAGTTAATTTAGAGATAGTACTGAATAGTAGTCTAGGATTATTCTGGTTATTTTCAATCATTGATGAGAGGCTGAACGTGCTGACTTTAGTGCTTCTCTATAGTCTATAAGACTCTCCTTCCAGGCAGATTGGAAAACCTCAAGTTTAGTCTGATGCCATTTACGCTCTAATCGCCTAACAGTCTGTTTCATAGCTCGAGTACGGTCATTGTACCATGGAGCCTTTCCTGCCTTATTCTTTTACTTTTTAATGGAGCCACATTATCTAAAGTAGAGCGAAAAGTGTCCTCCAAACATTTAGTCAGCATATCTAATTCATTGGGTTCAGACGGACAGCTAATTAAGGACGAAAGATCTGGAAGGTTTTCAATAAAGCTGTTGGGTGTAGACGATGTTATAGTACGTTTAACACTATAGAGTGTGGATAAACATATATTACGACTAAAACTGATTTCATATGAGATTAAGTAGTGATCTGACACTGCTGGTCTGAGGAAGGATGGCCAAATGCTTAATGTCTATGCCTAAGGTCAATATTAAGTCTAGAGTGTGGTTACAGTAATGAGTAGGCCCCATAATATTTGGAGTGAAGCCAAAACAGCCTAAAATAGATACAAATGCCTCACTTAGCGGAT